CATTCACAGATCCAGCACATTCTGTTGTGTAAGTGTTAGCTCTGTTTCTTATAACACCTATCCACTCCAGTCCCCTTCCTGGAGGCTGGCCAATCCAGGTTATAGAATAGTCACTGAAACTGAATCCAGAGCCTTTGCAGGGGAATTTCTGTCTCCTGAAGGCTGCCTCGTGTATCCCTCAGACCCCATCAGCTGCACCTCACTGTGGACACCTGTAGAAAAGAGTCTCTTATTAGAAGTACACACACATTCACACACTCAAGTCCTACTTTATCCATAATGTTGCATGTAAAAACCTCAGAACAGGTGCCCAGCTCAGTTGAAATTTCATGGTGCTTCCTCTGCATTAACTGCTGAAGTGAATGCCAACAGCAGAGACTCAGGAGCTAGGGCTGCTCTCTCAGGTGCAAGGGCAGTAGTGGGTCTGGGTTTATCAGCACATGGAGCACCCCATTTGTATTTACTCCTCTAATTAGGGACAGACAAGTGAAGTCTGTTTGTGAGAGACCTTACTCTACTCACAGGGACACACATCCTTGTTGTGATAGAGGGGATTTTATAAGAGGACGGTTAGTCTGTGTGCCATAGAGTTATTGTTGTTGCTAATTTCTACCATTGTTCAGATTAACAAAATTTACTTCACTGAAGTATTCCACATTCACAGTGTTCCATGCTATACCCCTCAGAAGAAATGTCCTTTGTGACCTTTTCCATGTGTCGACACACAGAGGGGCATTCATTCCCATCATCAGCCTCCCGGGTGTGAGGTCAGTGGTAACTGCAAGGGCCGCTCTCTTGTTCTTTCAAGACAGAATCCCTGACCATCGTGAATCTGTGCACAGAGAGTCCATCCATGTTTAGAAAGGAAGTGGGAAGAAGGAACAAGCACATTTAGAGTATGTTACCTGCTCTGGACATTCTCTGTGCTTAGCCTGCTACTTTTCTGCCCCCAATGACTTACCAACTGTCACCTAAAGTGACTGATGTGTGCACCACACAAAAACCATTAATATACAAGGGGATACTATGATCCAGATGCCACACTGTCATTATATACAATATCTGGGAAGTTTGAAAACATGGCATGCTTAGTTAAAATGTTCATACCTAAGTGAACCTTTTAACATCCTTGGCCAATGAACCTCCTGAGTGTTGCTGCTGTCCATGGCCTGAAGCACACATCAGCCATGTTCCTGTAACATGGGGACTGGGAGAATAGTGGGATTCATCTCCAGTGCAACCTGGGCCTCACTCTACATTGATGTGTTAAGTATTGAAAGGGTTCATGGATTAAACACACATATAATGCTGCCTTTCTGCTACATCTGTTTAGGAGCTTCCCATAATGTCCAATCAGAACACTTTATCTGTGGAAGAAAATAACAGAGAAAAACTACCCTGGAACATCACTGGAAGAAAACACATGGTGCACATTTTACAACACAAACAGCAGTGAAACTCTAGATATTCAACCTGTGTAGTCATGTTACACTACAGTGCTAAATCATTCTGGTTGCTGTAACAAAGGACTGTGGCCAACAAAAGAAATATATTTCTCACAGATCTGGATGTGAATGATGCAAGACTAGATGCAGATTGTTTGGGTGACTGGTGAGAATCTGCTTCTTAGATGGCTGTTCTCTCTAATCTCAGAGGGTAGATGGGGCAAAGCAGCTCCCTCAGTCCTCTCTCATGAAGGCCCTGACTCCATTCATCAGAGTTCCACGCTGGGACCAACTCTTCTCCTGAGGCCAGGGATTCTAACACCATAACATGAGCCTCAAATTTTAATGTGTGAGTGTTTGGGTGACAAAGTCACTCTTAGGAACACCAAAGGAATCAAATTCTACTTCTGTCCATTTGTAAGTGTACTCTAGCAAATCTCCCCAAACTGAGGATTCCTATAGTCCTGTGGAAACTTTCTGTCTTTTGAAGCAGAAAAGGGATGCAAGTTCTTCAGAGAAAGCTGCATATTTTGTAGAGTGAACAGGTTTCAGCCTAAATTTTGAGCTAAAATGTCCATATAATTATTATGATTTCCTCTTCTTGCTTACATATAACAATCATTCTAATTTTCTAGGGGCTGAAGTTGTGTTCTACCCATAATAGTTATTTGCTTCATTTTCATTTTCTCACTCATGAGTCCTAGGAGTTTGATGGAATAAGAAGTAAGGATCTGGTTTTTATTGTTGTTGTTTTTTTTTGGGTTTTTTTTTTTTTTTTTTTAATGTTGGATGCTGACATCTTAAGATTCATCCCTCTCTGACCTATTTTTCACAGGTGGGCCATATATAGAGAAAGTGGTGATTATTTCTAGTTCCATTCAGGTGAGAGATTAGAACCACACAAATCCATCCTGTGAGCAGGAGCCTCTTCAGCCTTGTCACAGATGAACCAGAAGATACAGATCCAGACTCCTTACCTGATGTAAAACAGCCATTGCTTGACATGCTGAAAAGTCTGCCCTGCTCTCAACAGACTCCACAATGAAGTAAAAAACTATTTCATAGTCCCTCTTTGGGTGTGACATCACTATCCTGGACACCTGGACCAATTTAGGGTGGGGGTCACTCTACACCTACATGACGCCAACTGCTATCGGTCATCATGAACATGGAGTCAGGTAAATACTGTCTCCTCCAGGGCACCTTTCCTCTGTCATTGAGCCGATATGCATTTTTTCCCACTGTTCAGCAAACATGTGCCTGCTGCTGACCTGCTTGGACTCTGAGCTGTGTGGGGCTCCGGTGCACTGTTGGGTCCAGCAGAACATCTGGTTGGATTTAGCTGATATTGTTACAGAACAGAACAGGGGGGGGCTGGGACGATATACTATTATTTAAAAGGCCCCCAGGTCCGTCATGTCTGCCGCCAGAGGAAAGACATCTCTCAATGCCAGAGATTCGTGAAAAGGAAAGGAAATGTTTATTTAATGCTATACAAACTTCAAGTAGTGACCTAATGTCTTTATCAAAAACCCCAAAGTCTCCCAAAACACCCACAAACAGACACAGTCCTTCCTTCCTTCCCCCTTTGCCCAGTCCAGAGTACCATATTTCAGGGAAGGAAAACGAAGTCCATGGCTCAGACAGTCCTCTGGTTCTTAGTCCTCCTTCTCGACTGGGAGACCTCCCTGGGTTCCCAGCACTCTCGGCTGAGTCACCAGGATCTTTGCTAAAACCAGGTGGTGGTTCCCCCTTCTAAAGCTGCGGGGGTCCCCACTCTGTCCAGGCCTCGTGGTTCTCTCTCTCTGGGATGCGGGAGTCTCCACTCTGCTAAAGCCGCGTGGTTCTCCCTCCTAAAGCAGCACGGTTCTCTCTGGGATGCAGGAGTCTCCACTCCGTCAAAGCCGCGTGGTTCTCCTCCTCAGGGCTGCGGGAAGGGGAGAGTCCTCACTCTGCCAAAGCCACATGGCTCTCTTTCCTAATGGCCGCCAAGTCTGAGTTTTAAATCCCCGTGGCCAATCTTCCTCTGCAGCCTCATTTCCGACTCCTCCCACACTCGGCTTCACATGCCAGAACTCGTATCCTTCCAGCTTTACTGGGCTGCCATCTTGAGTCTGGGCAGGTGTGGCCCCATGTGCTGGAGCCAATCTTCTCCGAGCTCCCACGCAGGCACTGTAGCTTGGGGGATCTGCCCCTAGTCACCTGTTGGTGGGGAAGTTACTTCCATTCCCCTGGCTCAGAGATGATCACAGCTATTTAACATATCTAAGCGACCAGCCAAAGGCTATAGATATGTTAAATGACCACGCCAGAGCTTAGCTGCAAAACAGCTCTCAATGGTCCTGTTCCATTTGTCCCTTCTCCCAACCCACACCCTGGGTGCGGGGGGGGGGGTGTTGGAAACATCTTAAAATCTCCTGGACACCTTAAGTTCTGGACCCCATTTCAAATGCCCATTTGGGGTCCCCCCTCTTGGCTGCACCCTGTAACAATATCAGTCATGAAGATTTAATAATTCCACTATGATTCATTAGGATAACATTAAGCAAATGTTGTGACTTTCTGCCTCCTGTGTGTGTGAAAATATTCTCCTCCTATTACAGCAAGCCTCTGAGTTCACATAGTTAAGATGTCAGCACAGAATCATGAAGGAAGTCAGGCTCTCTGAAAGAAACTGCTGTGTAGAAAATTAACCCCACACCTCCAGAAATTCAACAGTTAAAGTGCATTTGCAGCTGTTTCAGAACTGAACCAGGTACTCAATGGGCCCTGATCGCCCCCTGGTGTTCGGAGTTTCCCCTGTTGGCCAGACCTCCGGCTCCTTCAGAGAGGTTTGTGTCTGGGCTCACACAGACTTCCCCTCACCGTGTCACTCCCACAGTAATATATGGCTGTGTCCTCAGGTCTCAGGCTGTTCATTTGCAGGTAGAGCTCGTTCTTGCCATTGTCTCTGGAGATGGTGAATCGGCCCTTCACAGAGTCGGCATAGTATGTGCTACTACCAGCAATTGCTGAGATCCATTCCAGTCCCTTCCCTGGAGCCTGGCGGACCCAGTGCATCCAGTACCTACTACTGATGGTGAATCCAGAGACTGCACAGGTAAGTCTCAGAGACCCCCCAGGCTTCACCAAGCCTCCCCCAGACTCCACCAGCTGCACTTCACACTGGACACCTGCAGACACAAAGACATCAGGTCAGGAAACTCTTGACCATCCATTTTATCTCTCAGATGTATCCATTCACACACTCAGTGGCTCCCATTTTCTATGATTACCTGTTAAAACAGCAACAAGGAAAACCCAGATGAAACCAAACTCCATGATGAGTGGTCTGTGTTCTGTCCTGACAAGATTCGAGGAACACCTGGGAATCCAGGGTTGGGCTCCTGTCTCAGAGCTGCAGGGTCAGGGCTGGGCTGCTTTTAATGAGCAGAGGGACCCTATTTGCATTCCCTTATACCATATAGGGAGCTCAGGGGCTGCATGTTTACATGAAGGGCATGGTGCCAGTGTGTGACATATCTAAGGGCACATGTCTGTTACCAGTTACTCCCCACATTTGAGCCTATACTGCTCCATGAGATCTGTGCATGATGCAGAAGAGTGAATTTTCATAAATGAGAGGTTTTTAAATAAGAGATGCCTTTGAAAATCAGCAGTAATGAGCACACCAAGGGAATTCAAAGCTCATGATCACAGTAGAATTAAAATTCCAGGAGGTTCCTCTTCTTGTCATCGGAATTTTCATCTGTCCTATTTCCTCTACAACGTCATCAGACTATGAACTGTGGAGACAATGTGACCCCAGAGCTCCTGGACAGAGTGTTGGAGGAGAGGGAGGGTCTGTGTTTTTTTATTATTATTATTATTATTTTTTTTTTTGGAGACAGAAGCGGGAACCCTTCCCAGAAGCAGGAAGTATGGCCTGGAACATGTTTCTTTAGTGGAGTTTGGTGCTGAATATGCAGCATGTTCACTGCCTCAGTTTTGTTTTCATTTTGTAGACTCTGGGAAAAGTAGGTTCACACATTTGGGATGCAGAAGAAAGTAATTCATAAGTAGATGTGCATAGGTGAAGATTTATGAGAAATTGGGGAATAAGTATGTTGAAATTTTATAAATTTGATTATAGAAAACCTTGGTGCAAACTATTAACAAAAAATAGCAGGTAAAAATAAATTCATAATTTATATGAAGAGCATTATTTTCTTTATCCACTGATTACAGGATGAATAAATCTTTCAAATAACCTCCCATTGCTGGAACTATTGGATCTGATGTTATGTTAAACTCATCATCATTGTGGGTTCAACCTGATGCTCTCTATTAGTATCTGTGTTTACATGGATGTTCAGTACAGCTCTTATCAGGAAGCAGGGGAGGGAGTATAATGGAGCCCCCTGATTATTTGACAGTTAATTTCATAAGAACCATCTTCTCTCTCTCACAGTCTCTATTCATGTCTGCATGTGACACATGGGAGTTTGTCACCATGACCACACATAATGGGCGTCCTCTGAACTTGAACCTGATGTACTCATAGTATTGATGCGCTAAATGGAAAATGGTACTCCATGCACAGGCATGAATTTCCATGGATGGTAAGTGAAGCTTGCTTTGAATTGACACTTTCACACTGACCTCCAGAATGTACAAGAACAATGTGTGTAGATTGCAGAGCCAGGTGTGTGATAATTGTTTCCACTGACATAGAAAGACAGTAGACCTGAATGTGGGTATTCCACTGTCAAGGGTGTCCCTGTGATGTCCCTTGCTATGTGATGACATCAGTACTAGCTCAGAGACAGGGGCACTCATGGGGCTTTGCTCTCAGGTGAGGAGGATCCACAGGATTTCCCCATGAGGGAGGGCTGAAAAAAAGCTGTGATGCTGCAGACTGTGCTGGAATGTGGACGTTGCTGCCAGAATGCCATCTGTGTGATGCTGGACGAGAGACAAGAACATAGAAATCCCCCTTTACTTTCATGTACTTACTTTTCCCCAATCACAAGTCCAGTTTTCACAAATAAGCGAATGCACTAGAATTTGCTAGGCATCACCTTGTCCAAATCCCCAAGGTAACCCTGACCAAGGATTCCCAGATGAAGCCTTGATGAAACGCTTCATTCAGAAGACCAGGAGGCTCCAAATGGTCCCCCTGCAAAATGACAACAAATAATAGGAGCCCTTTCTGCAGCATGTTCCCTGCCTCTTCCCCATGGTATATCTGGTCTACTGAAACATTCCCTGAGTTTCTGATGTGCCCATGGCAGCATCCGTCCTAGTTCAGATCCCACCTGTGTGTGAGGAAGTCAGGAGGCCCGTATCCCTGCCATGCCCTCTACCCAGCCAAACTGCCCCACTTCTCATGGTCTGTGACACATTCAGCATGTGGGTCATCACAGTGTCTCACATGGCCAAGTCTTTAGCTTTGAGACTGTTCAGCCCCATGTATGCTCTACTCATGGACATGTCTGCAGTCATGGTGACTCTGCCCTGGAACTTCTGTGTGTACTTTCTTTCACTATCATTGGGGGATTCTCCCCATCTGATCAAGCCCTTGTCCTGGGGCCTTTTGCACCCAATATATGCAGTAGCCTGTGAAGGTGTATCCAGAAGCCTTGTAGGAGACCTTCACTGAAGCCCCAGGTTTCCTCACCTCAGCCCCAGACTGAACCAGCTTCACCTGGAAGGGCTCACCTGTGAAGAGTAGACATAAGTGTGTGGAAATGTCCCTTGACTGTTCTTGGTACCCTCATCAACCCAGGGACTAGAGAGCTTCTTACCTATAGACACTGCCACCAGGTAGAGGGTTTTCCTGCTCCAGTCCACTGTGAAGGGATATGCTGTCAAGATTCTGTAGGGGAGGGTGTTGCCATGGGTGATGCTCTCAGGGACCAGACACACTCATATTCAACCTAGTCTACCTATCTCCTCTGCATATTCATTAGGGATAGTGTTTCATAGCTGAAGTCCTGACCCCACCTGAGAAAAGTTGGAGGACACAGAGACCACATTCAATGGGAGTCTGATAGACCCAGTCCTAATCCCTGTGTGAGGATATAGGTCCCCTGCCAGGTCCCTAAGTTCTGTAAAGAAATAGCTCTTCCCCTGGGAAACAAGACACCACAGGGTGTGCTCTTTCATGGTAACCCCAACTCTGAGTGACATAGAGACACCTGGAACAGTCTGGCCTTGGTACATGAATGTCTTATTACCGGGCCAATGTGTCTTCAAAATTCTCCACGTCGTGAGTTAATAAAATAATCCCTGTGTCAAGCTCCTTATAATTGAGATAGAAAGAAGCCATAGAAATACCCTTACTGGTTGTGGTCTTCATGTATTATACTTTCATAAATGCTCTAATGGAATTGGGTATTTGCAGTCACCACATGACCAACTTGACTTTAGGTGTTTTTATGGGAAGAGGGGGGTGCAGGCCCTCAGAGGGAATCTCTTCCCAGCTCCTTCTCCACCTGATGCTGGGCCTGCAGCCCTAAACTTGTGGGTTTTGCACGCCCCCTGCTGTCCAGCCTGAGTCCTGCAGGGGGGAGTCCTGTCTGAGCTCAGAGGGCATGGGCATCTCCTTGGCACTAGTTGAGAATTGAAGACAGAACCCTGACTTCAGAATGCTTCCACAGTAACACAATGCGCTTTGACATCTCTAGACACAGATATCTAATTTTACTAACCCCCACTGACTCTGCAGGGAACCTCCAAAGAAGGGCTACATGAGCCACCAGGGAGCCCCTTTCCTGGAGCTGCCCAATGCACTGTCACTGCCAACACTTCTGAGTCTGGAAGTTCTTGGGGCCTTTGGAAGCCTCTGGTGTCCTCAGATTCCTCTGTTTGAAGGTCCCATCTGAGGACCCTGCATGAGGCCCTAATCCCACCACATTTATGTTGCTCAATTATTTACACACAGACATACAGTGATGAGTTTCATGGCAATGCTCTTGAAGGCTCCTTTCTCCCCAGTTCCTACCTATGGGATGGGCCTCCACATGAGTTCTAAGCCTGAGTGTGACTTGTTAGGTGAGTGAGGTCAACTCTGTGAGGGACACCCTGGCTTTTCTTCCTGTATTGATTCTCCATCCTAATGCTTGTCTTCCCTTCTACCACCTGTCTTGAGGACCTCAGATCCCAGCATCCTGCACAGAAACAGAGCCACTGCTCAGTGACCCACAGCTGCACTTGTCAGGGGCTGCTGGAACCACCATCTCCTCTTCCATCTGGGTTTCTGGTCCAACCATCATTGACACTCCCACACTGATCAAGGCATCACAGGGGAAAACTCAGGTGCTGCTGGTTGTTACTCAGGCCCCCTTTCTAAGCTGGTCTTCTCTGGGGTCAGTCATGGAGGGGCTGTGTGATGTTTCCCATGAGGACTCCATGTCCTAAAATCCAGCAGCCCAGCAGGCACTAAGTTCTCAGTTTCTGGGTCAGGCATGGACATTTATTCTGGTTTTCACTGGATGAAGAATGTGACAGATGGTTTCTACGTAAGAGAGTAAGATAAAGTCCCCATTTCCACAGGATTATGCACCTGTGCTGGATTTATCAAGCACATGTCAGTTCCATGTGCCACCAAGTCATTGGAGTCACTGCATCATTACCTTCTATGTTGATCTTGTCATTACCATGCATTACTGCCCTTGGCACCTGTATCAAGCAGACATACTTCTTGGTAAATGTTCACAATAATAAGATTAGTCAAATACATCTTCTTTTGTTTGTTTGTTTGTTTCAGTGTATATGCATCATTGATATTCCCACATGAAAGCAGGTTGCATTTGGATATTGTCTGAGATCAATATGGAAAAAGTCATTTGCAAGATCAATCACTGAGGACTTGTGGCCTTGGCTGGCAATCAGCTTAGTCTGCTGACGCTGTCACAGTGAGCTCTGATGCCATGCAGTACTGCTCATTCCACCCTAAGTGATCTCAGAGTCATCGTAAGGCTCCTGAATTTTCAATAGTCATCAACAGACTAAAACACGGGGGATATTAGGAAACAGCTTTGCAATTGGTAGCCTGACATTAATGGGATCCTCCCTCGTGCTCACTGAGTGTCCAGTACTGTTTCCAATAAAAACAGGAGTGTTCTCTGATGGGATCATTCCCTGTGAAGGGCAAACTTGCATTCCCTCTTCTTTACACAGAAGAGCCATGGTCCTCCAGAGAAGCAAACAGACATGCACATTTACATTTACAAGTAGTCGATGCTCATTGTCTTTATAATGAAACCTCCTAAATTGCAATGAGCTCTGGTGGCTGGCAGCAGACAGAGGAGAGCTGCTGTCATAACTCAGCCTGAGTTAAATGTTGAGGACTAGGGTGCCCAGGACAGGACAAGACCCCTGCCCCAGCTCCAGTATTCATCACATGGGTA